AGTCCCAAGTTGGAAGTATGACTTGTTGCCGTCGTCTTGGCCTCGAGCCGGTGCCCGAGGGTTAAGAAATGCAATTTGGTCCCAGAAAAGTGCCCTAGGGCCCACAGGTACCGTTTGCCCCCGGTTGTCGCGGTCTAGAAGCGGTGAAGTGCGATTTGTCGCCCTTGTCTTGGTATCAAAGCGGTGCGCCATTGCTGAGAGTTGGGATCTGTTTTTCGCGCCGCAGTGCTGTTGTCTCGGTTTCGCATGGTGCCCCAGTGCTATAAAAAGTACGATTAGTTGCTGCATGGGTCGTGCTCTCCTTTCCTCGCCGACTCGCCTTGAGTCAGGTTCATTCCGTGTGAAACCACTGCAAGCGCTCACGCAGAGCCTGGCCGCTGGGGCAAGGCGCTGGCAAGGCTCAAGCCTTGGCTCAGACCACGACTCGTGACGAAAATTGCATGCGGCACGCTCGACACACTCGATGCTGCGATGCTCAGGGCCCAGGGCGCCAGGCTGCCGGAAAGTCGTTCTTCCTCATTCCGAATCCACTCCGTTATCTGCCTGCGGGCCACGGAGCTCCGTCTCACTTCCAATAAAGCTCTCTCTGTTGCACTATTCTTTGCACGATCTGCTGCAAACACTGCAACAATGGCAACGGAAAGCAGTTGTAGATATGTAGGAGTTTCAGTGGCAGCAGCAACAGCAACAGTACAATACTTGGAGAAGGTGGTACGAGCCGTCGCAATGATAGCGAATCTTGTTGATTGGCGAACCTGAAGGCCACACGGGTGCCATGGACAGCTAAGTTCGGCGGCTGTGTACTGTGTCGAGATCGCCGTGTCGAGAGTGGAGCCTTGTGGAATGCGTGCCACCTCGAGCCTTGACACCTTCGAGCTTTCGGGCTAGGTCGCTACTTCTTTGCAGCGAAACTGTGCGAGGTAGGAGCTCACTGCGGTGCTGATGCCGGTTGGGCAAAGCCAGCTTTGAACGTCGCACCGTTGCGAAATGGCCAACAAAAGGTGGCTGAGTGTCGCACTGCAGCTTGGAGGAGGCCGGTGTGAGCTCCTGCGTTCCTGGGAGGTGCGGCTTTCGGTGCCAGGGTGCCAGCCGTGAAAGGCCTTCGTCAGTCTCGGAGCGCCGAGACCCAAAGCTCGCACCGCCTAAAGAGGCGCCCAAAGCGAAACTGAAACAAGGCAGCAGAGGGGCAGCCGCCTGCGGGAGCTCTCGGAGGCGGAGCCATCGGAGCCACCCTGAGAGGACACACGACCCCAGAAATTCGGCGGGGCGGGCCGGGCCGGGCCCCCCACGGCCTGCGTGCATCCCGTGACGCGTCCCGCCTGTGTCTCTCTCCGTCGAGGTGTGTCGGGGCTGTGGGGTCCCGGTCCCACCTGAAAGGTCGTGTCGAAGCGCTTGCCCGGCCCAGGCCGGGTGAAGCCTTGCAAAGAGACTTTGAAGCGTCCCCGTCTCCTAAAGGCTGGGCAGCTGGGCAGCCCAGCTTTCTCCTCCCGGAAGGGCCGTCCTGGACTCCTTGAGCAAACGGAAAGCGTGGCAGAAGAAACTCAGCGCACCTTTCCCTTCGCCTCACTGTCTCCGCCAGCCGCACCTGCACGGGGACGGCTATGCATTGGAGCGCCCCTCCGCGCTGGCTTCCTTCTCTCTTTCGATGCCCAAGGCAATGTGTAGTGTTCTTCCTCACAGTTTCGAGGCACTCTGCGGTCCGTTGGTTTTTCAACTTGCAGTTGCTTCTTCCAAGCCAGTTTCGGATGGGAAACAAGCAACATGTACGTGCAATTTGGGGAAAAGTGAAACCTGCTTCGAGGCGAGAGAGGGAGCACCTCGAGCTCCGTGCAATGCTCGGACAAGCGGACGTTCTCGTCTCGGAGCGCACGCAGCTTTTCCTCAAAGAAAAAGCGCAACGCCCGCGGCCCTAGTCCGGTCAGGGCCAAGTGTCCCCTGTCCTGACACACGTCGGCCTCGCGCTCTAGCCGCTGTGTCAGCTCCTGAGATTGGAACAAGCACAAAGCGAAGAAAGCGGACCGAACAGGAAGCGAAGACGGTGCCTTCTCATGCAAAGCCTCGTCTCTCGCAGCCTGTCAAATGGCCGGACTTCCTCTTCTGCTGGCGTGCCACTTTGCACTTTGCTTTGTGTTCAGATTCGTGTGCATGTTCTTGTCGCACCGAAGGCTCCAGGTCTGCGATTCTTAGTAGCGACAGACCTCTGATATCATAGTTCATGTGTGCTATCAGCTATCATCCGCATGTTCGGAAGACTTGTATCGTTTCGTGCGCGTCCGTCGATTGCCACTTGGATCTATGACTCAAGGCCTGCATCTGCAATTCCAGGTCCTTCACACGCCGACGAGCCTAGAGCGAACAACACCATACCAGAGAGAACGGTCGCTGCGGCTGCGCTCTTAACCGGCATCTCCGGCCTCCTGCATGGCAGGCGAAACCAAGTGGAGGCGCTGCTGCCTGGCAAACGTGTGCGAAAAATCGGCTTTCGGCTTCTGCGTGCGTTCTCTTTGCAGCTTGGAGCCCGGCGCATCTGCGTTCTCCTTGCTGAGAAAGCTCATTTCCTGAGAGAAGAGGCTGCCGAGACGCCGAGGCTGCTGGCGGCCGCTGAGTGCCGGTCTCCACGCAGCTTCTCGGCCTGCTACGCAGCGACCACGCAGCTACCATCAGCTACGCCTTTTTTTTCCGCCTCTGGACTTGCTGACACTCTTTGACTCTCAAACCGAAAGGGTGTGAAACTTCAACGGACTCCTGGCCCTCTGTCTCCTCGCAGGAACGTCGTGCCTACAGCTGGCGATGTGGATCAAAACAGGCGCCCCGGTTCGCAGAGGGTCATTGTAGCTCGTAGATACCGAGCCATTGAGACCCCACTGCGAGCTGGCTGTTATCACATTTGACGCTCGATCCCCGAAGACTACCAGTTGTTGACACTTTCACGGTAGCGGAGCTGATGGCTTATGACCGCCGGCTCGGTGTTCGATCCAGGGAGTTTGTGGTTCTGGAGAAGGGGTTCTTCAGAGATCAAGATGAGTGCAACGACTGAAACTTCGTCTGCGGGGACCCCAATGAGGACCAAGGACGGCATACCCTCATGGGGAGGGGATGCTGGAACGTGCACCCGCTGCGAGGAAACGCTCTCCTGTGGGACTCACATGGGAGAAGAGGTACACGGCAGGCCCGAAGCTGGTTCAGGAGCTCACTGGAGCAGCGAAGAGATATATGTCACCGGCCAGCCGCCGGGATGGGTGGCTTTCAGGGGCGGCGTTGGCGTTCTGATGAATCACTTGAGGCAAGCCTTAGGCAAACCCCGGATAAACGAGGTGACGGACCTGCTGGCGCTGTACTTCAAAGGGACGAGGAGAAAGAGCGGCGAAAGTATGAACGAGTACATCACTCGCAAGAACGAGCCTACATGCGGGCGTGCCAATCAATGAGGCGGGTCCAGCGCCCGGCCGGGCGAGCACGGCGAGCTACAACTGGTGGCCAGCGAGGCGGACCAGTACGGACTATGGGTCCCAGGCTGGGACATGGACCGCCAGTGGACACCCGCCACTGCTCAGGTTTCTCTCACCATGGTCCAGCCCTGCATCCATCAGCAGGTACCAACCCTGAATGAATAGACGTGGAGGAAGCCTCAGACCAGTTCCATCCACAGCCATAGACTCCTTGCCCGGTGTAGGGTCGCCACGCGTGGCGCCCAGGATCATACTCATTCTGAGGAGACTTCGCCCCGGAGAGAGACGAGGTGCTGTCAGAGCTACATGGGTGAAGCTGAAGAATGGACGGAAGAAGATGGCGACGCAACCAGTGGTGGCTTCACCCGAAGCTGAGGGCTACGACGACAGCGAGATCGCCCTCGTCGGAGGCCGAGGATCAAGCCCAGGAGGCATTGGCGGCTATGCAAGACGCCAGAAACACGCTCAAGGAGGCGAGGTACAAGCAAAAAGTGGTGAAGCAAAGTCGAAAATACTTTCGCGGCGGCGGCAGTGGCGGGGGGCCTTCATCCAGGTGGGCGAGGTCGTGATGACAGCAATCTAGATTGGCTGAGGTGTGGACAGATTGGGCATCGTGCCGCCAACTGTCCGAACAAGCCTGCCGGCACTGCGGCCCAGACGGACGTGGGCCAGCCAGCAACAGGGACACAGCAGGCGCCGTTTGTGTGCCTGGCCGAGGCGGAGGAGACGGTGATCCCGGAGCCCAACGACGTCCTGGACGTCTCCGCCTTTGCACAGACGGCCTCACAGGAAGCTGTCCGCCAGGGAATGTGTGGGATAGACGGCGGGGCTACGCAGACGATTGGAAGCATTGCTGCTGTAGAGGCGGTTCTCGAACAGAATAGGAAGCTTCATGAAGCCACCCGCCTTAAAGGCATCAATGCTACCAATCCTCCAACTTTTTTCCTTTGGGAATAGCACCGTTGCTGTTCCACGGTAGAAAAACGGCAGGTCCACAAGCTGGACCAAGGGCAAAGCCCGATTTTGATGAGTGTAGAAACGTTGCGGCGGTTAGGTGCAGTCATAGATTTTAGGGATGACTTAGCGGTGTTCAGAGCTTTGGACGATAGGAAGGTGCTTCGGCTTACCCGCGGCCAATCTGGTCATCAGTTGTTGTCTCTTACTCAGGACTGGATGTCTCAGGCCGAAACCGCCCAACAGGCTGTCCCAGGATTGTCATCTTATCTGCAAGGCTAGGGACAGCTCCTTCCGGATCCTTGTCCTGACGGGAAAAGGAAGGTCGTACAGCTTGAGTCAGGAAGGGTTTTCAATCTTGCTGCTGCTGATCACTCAGGGGTTTCAGACGGTGTCGGTAGCAGTGGGATTGATATGGGCTTAGGAACTTTAGATCTCGAGCGGGAAGTGCAAGTGCAAAGTGATGTGCCAGAGCCGGGGAAGTGTCGTGAAGCACATGTACCAGACAACCGAGATGGCAGCAACCCCGGCTCACAACCTAGTGCCCCTGTCAGTGTTTACCCGACTGTGATCCCCGCCATGGGCAGCATGACCAAGGCGGATTTGGTGCTGAAGCTCAGGAGCCACGGCGGGGAGCTACCCCCGAGGAGTGGACCAAGATCGAGCTCAAGCAGCGGATTCCGGACCTGATCCAAACCGGCGAGATGGTGGAGATCAAGAATGTCAAGGAGAAGTCGCCCATGCCGACGGCGGTGACCGAGCTCAGCAAGCACAGCCGTCGCAAGGCCGAGTTGATCCAGTACGTGACGAACGAGTACAACATCGTGCCGACCTCGAACGACACCATCGGGACGATCCAGCGCAAGGCGATGGCTGCGATCCTCAACAACACCACGCCTACCGGAGCAGACCAGATGGGGTTTGGGAAGTTCTCGGCCCGAACGTATCAAAGCGTACTGGAGGAGGAACCCAAGTAATTATGTGGAGTGGGCTCGCCAAACCGAGATGGAGGGCGTCGTCGCTTCATCCGCTGGGTGAAAAACCACGCCGAGCAGGAGATAATCGAGAAGACCCGGGTGATGGCCAAGGCGAAGGAGCGACTACGGGCAACTCCCAAGAAGGGCTATGCGGCTGCGACGCCTTCTGCGGCGCCTTCCGGCACAGCAGGCAGTGCGGACGTGAACCTCGATGCGGTGGCCAACTTGACCAACCTCGTGGCCCACCTGGTCCAGGAGGTCCAGACCTTGAAGGAGGAGCGCAGCGAGAAGCCGAGGAAGCAGTTCGCCAAGGATGTGGACATGCCGAATCCGAAGGACACCGAATGAGTCTTCAGGCTTCAAGGGTTCTGGAACATAACTTTCAGGATGCGATTCCCAACATATTTGAGCAGTTGGTAGGACAGCAGCGCATGGATTTGCTTGAAGTGATGTGTGAACCAGATAGTCTTTTGACCTCCACTTTAGATGCTCGTTGTGGTGTGGACATGATCTTTCAACCCCAGGGGGCATCGCGGTGACTCTGGAGCAGATTCGCACTTTAAAGCCACGACATGTTTGGATATCTCCCCCTAGTGGACCGTTTTCTCCTTTACAGAGCATCAACCAACGGACCCCGTCCCAGATCCAAGAACTGAAGGCCAAGAGAGCCAATGCCACACGAATCTATGAGAGAACTCTGGAAATAGTCAAGGTGTGCATGCAGTTGGGCATCCATGTTTCAGTGGAAATTTCGGACAAGCCTGAGGCTTGGAGGCTCCCTGTCTTCAGGCACTGTGTCGTGAAGGGCTGTGCTGTGAGACTTGTGGGCCAAGATGGACAGTTGACGCAGAAGCGGTGGCGAATTGTGACTAGTCACACACGGCTTGCTGATGTTCTGCATAAACCATGTCGTTGTGTGAGTAGCTACCGACATGCCAAGTGCGAGGGTGCTATAATGCCAGGGGTTCCAGCCGGTACACGCTAGAGTTTTGCAGGTTGGGGTTTGAAGGGTTGAGAAAGGAGGCTGAGATTCAGGGGATTGTTCACGAATGTTCTGGTGATTCCAGGCTTCAGGCCGAGTTCGGACTCGGACTTCGATGCACCTGTGAGGAACACTCACACCTGGAGGAGTGTGGCAGCTGTATGGTTCAGATTGCCCAGACAGAAGAGACAGGCGAGGGATACATGGGTGACCTGCACACCCAGAGGCTTGAAGCCGAAGCCAAAGCCCTGTCTGAGAGCCAAAGCCCCAAAGACCAAAACCAGATCCGCGACCTTCTTGTTGAACACCCCCTCCAGAACACTGGTAGTTCTAGAAGAAAGCAAGCCACCAACACTGATTAAGCCTTGTTCGGAGTGTATGCTTATGGGAATCACTATGGATTGACCAACAGGACCCGAGCCTTCCCTGAACTTTGTAGATGCATTAACCGGACCCTTCTTCCCTCAACCATGCAATGGAGTTCTTTCGTGATCAACCACGGTGGCTGCCTACCTGTGCATCGAGACTGCCACAACAGTCCAGAGCACCCCAACGCAAGTATTGGGTTTGGGGGTTATTCAGGGGAGGGCCGTGGATTGAAGGTCGTGAGTCGGGGTAACCAACATGTGAATTCGGATGAAGTTCATGCGTTGAAGGCCTTGGGATTTCCGCTTCCGAAAGTTGAGCATGAGGCCTACCCAGCGACCGTCCGTATCAAACAGAAGTCCCGAGACCCCGATGAAACTCTCAAGAAACAGTTGTATCTTCTGCACTGTGCTACTGGACATAGTCATCCCAAGCATATGATCCAAGCCCTCAAGCGACGTGGTGCTGATGAACGGACGCTCAAGCTTGCTGAGGATTTCAAGTGTTCGGTGTGTCAAGAGAAACAGAAGCCACAGAGCCGAAACCTTGCGACCTTGGAGCCTCTTCCCCCAAAGTTCACGACGATTAGCGCTGACATTGGGCATGGGTCCACCCCCAAACGGAGGAGAGCATTTACTTCATGGTCATCATTGATGAGGGCTCTAGGTTCAGCTCACTAGAGGCCCACGTCAGGCCCCAAACGCCCAACATTGTTTGCACTACCTCCAAGAGGGGTGGGTTCAGTACTTCGGATATCCCAAGTGCTTGCGTTTCGACCCCGCGGGTGCTTTCCGGAGTCAAGCAGTGGAAGATTGGTGTGACCGCCACAGTGTGTTCCTGGACATTGTGCCCGGAGAGCCAGACTGGAAGATAGGAGCATGCGAGAACGCAGTCCATGGCGTCAAAGAAGTGATGCAGAAGCTGTGCCAGTATGATCCTGAATTGAGTGTGGAACAAGCCTTATCGGAGGCTACTACCTGCTTTAACCACAAGGTCACAAGGAGATCATACGTGGGTTTTCACAGCTCAACATGTACTTGGCCAGGCCCCAGACGAGACAGGCCGATACCTGTCGGCTAGCCAGGGTCTGCCACCAGACCTGCTGTGTGAGAACAGCCAGGGCGAGTTTGCCGGGCCGTCAACCTACGAAGTGAGGCGGAGAAGGCTCTCTGAATGGCAGGCTCAACAACGCATCATGAGGGCAAAGCACCGCCAACCAGGGGGCAAGCACGGCCGCTTCCTGGGCCCGCAAGGATCCTTGCGACGGAGTCCCGTCGGGACGAGTCGGGAACCCGGAGCAGCAGTGTGGTTGTGTGAAAGGCAGGAGCTTGTTGAAGTGCAGCCCAGAGCTGCTACGGCCTGGTTGACGCTCCATTGGAATGGTTCAGATCAGTCGACGAGTTCTTGCGACAACTCGGTTTCGCTGTGGTCGGACTGGTGCTGCTGGGTTCTCCGTGAAAATAGTTGCGGGAGTCGAAGTTGAGGGCGATTAAGGAACATCTCAAGTGGGGTGACTGGGAAGAAGGGAAGCTCACTCAATGTGGAGTTGTGAATGAGCAGACGGAATCAGGATTTGAATTGTCGCTACTTAAAAAACCTGAGCGAGACAGGAGTGAACTCTTCTAGGAGAAAGAACTTTCAAGACCCCACGAGCGACCGAGAGAAATCCCAGTTGCGCGCCTTGCTAGGAGGTTTGAGTTGGCACGCTCAACAGGTCGCTCCATACGTCGCGGCCGAAGTAGGGTTGCTCCTAATCGAGGTAACGAGGAGCTGTCTGGACACGATGATCCGCGCGAACACCTTGCTGGCCCACGCGAAGCTCAAGCAGAACTTCAAGATGAAAATCCATGCCCTGCCCTCCGACTCCAACGTGATGTTTGTGGCTTGGGTAGATGCGGCCAGCGGCAACCGCATCGACGGAGGCTCAACTCAGGGAATCTTCGTCGGGGCAACAACCGAGAACATCATGCAGGGCGACGTGTGCGATGTGAGTCCAGTGAGCTGGCATTCACAGTGAACAGCTGGGCACGGCACACGGACTGGCGGCCAAACCCTCCTTTCTCGAGCTCATGGCGCCTCGCACACGAACGTCTCCAAAGTCACAGGCTTCGCAAGAACCCCTCATGATGGAATGCACACAATCAGCTTTCGGATGAAACACTTTGGGGTAACACCTGCACGGTTCCACATCCATCAAGGGGGGTCTCCCAAAGTGTGTCGAAGCTACCCTGTTTCAGGGCATATCTGGCATTTGCCATGAGCCATCGCATGAGCGTGGCATTGCCAAGCCACTTGTAAGGCAATCTGCAGGCATGTTTGCCCCAGGGATCCAGAAGATCTTGGTGCGAAGCACCTCCGCTGACTTGGACATCACAGCGACAACCAATTGGGCCCTCCTGCACAATCCGGCGGCTCCTGATCCACCGGTGGAAGAGGTCGTAGAGAGCTCTGGCATCCGTGACTCCAAGCGTTGGTTCGCCATCATCTTGCAGGCGATGGTCTCATCTTCACCGCACACGTCCCGGGCACGACAGCTTCGCAAAACAGAGCCTTGGTCAGAAAACACTACCCAGATCCCTCGAGGTCAGTCGGGACAATCCGCAGGTAGATCTCGCTGGTGTTGCGCAACTCCTGGATCACCTTGTTGCAATGCTTGACGCTTTTGACAGTGGGGCCGCCTTTTCCCCAAGCCATGGCCATTGCACAGGAAGCTGCCACATCAGGCCTTGCCTCACAACCGACCCACAGCAGTGAACCGCCAGCGCCTCTCAACAAGGTGGTCTCGTTCTCGTCCAAGACGCGCTCCTCGTCCTTGATAGGGTCTCGCGGGAGGATCGCCGGCGAGAGCTTCTCATTGATGTACCGGCCATGGAGATGCGAATACTTTCCGAACTTGAACCGGCTGCGCAAGCGCTCCATGAGCTCACCGTGTCGAGGGTTTCCGCCTTGAAGGAAATCATCAACACAAGACCGGCACATCCACGAAGTCCCCCCGGGTTCTCTGCCGTCAGGTAAGGCAACACGTAGAGGCAGGGGTCAAAAGTGGATTCCACATAGCCAAGTTCACAAGGTGCTGAGGGCACCGTTTGCGCCAGACTGCCGGGGCGTTGACAAGTCCATATACTGCCGTGAGGACTCGGATCAAAGTCTCTTTGGCATGTCCTGGGATGCCTGACGGTGGCATGGTGGCATACAGCGGGCCTTGCTCTCGTTCATGAGCATCTGATTGTCCAAAGGCGCTGGACACATCCATGATCACAAGTCGGTAGCGCTAGCTGCTGATGATCTGGAAGGCGAGGTACACGGTAGGCGTTGCCGGAGTAGGAGCATATCTTTCGAGCTCCTGGGCATCTGGAGCGCGATGCCCCAGCAAGATCCATCTCGCTTTCGCTTTCCAGGCCATCCCGATTTCTTGTTGTTCCTTCCTCAGTGTGAATCGCAAAGGCATAAGTCGATGCCCAAGCGTGGCCCGAATTTGCTGGATTTCATCTGGATCCGTGATGAAGGTAATTGCACTGGACCCCTCAAGATATTGAATCTCGGTCAACTTGGCGGCATCGAAGAGTTTGCGCTCTTCCCTGTTGAGGGTTCGTTCCTGCAATTCCTTCCCGGACTTCTTGGTGAGGCACACCCACCCGGAGTGAAGTTCCGAATATGTGTAAAGCACATCATTGGCCTGGAGCTTCCCGAAGAGCTGAAGGTCGCGAGCATTTGCCACCACTGGGAAGCTCCGCCTGTCACCCCACGGCGTCACACAATCGGCCATCCAGATTCCAGCAATCTTGAACTTTGGTCTCGCAGTGCTTGACCCACCACCATCATCCCCGCGAAACTGCTGGTCCTCGATCATCCCACCTGTTTCAAGATCCTTGGTCGTACGGCGAATCACATCAGACCACATGGGACCAGCACTGTTAGAGGTGCGAAACCGAATCGCCTGGTTGTCCACCCGGCTCCATTTCTTCACTACGACTGGTGGCCACACTTCCCGTGGTCGAACGGACTCACTGCTAGAGCTCCCAGACGTGGATGACGAAGAAGATGAAGTACACGGATCCTGTTCTAGGTCAATGACTTCGGACCCTTGTGGTACATGTGGTACTCCTGGACTTGGTGGCTGTTGGCCTGCTTGTGGTACTTGAGGTACTTCTGGACTTGATGCCTGCTGTTGGCGTGCTTGTGGTACATGAGGTACTTCTGGACTTGGTGCTTCCTGTTGGCGTGCTTGTGGTACTTGAGGTACTTCCGGTCCATCAAGGGGGGATCAGGATCACCACGGTCTTCGGAGTTCTCCTGAGAGACATCGATGTAGCCAAGCTTCTCAGAGTCAAACCGCAGTCGCTCCTTCGCTTGTAGTAGATCACATGGCAGAACCTCCAGACCTTGGCACTCCAATGGTCCCATAGGAGAGACCTGGCTCGCATGGCATTTCCACAATTCCGACCGCCGTGACACCCAAATGGTGTGCCCTTGCTGACAAACAACAAAGCACGGACCAACCTTCGCCGAAGCACCTCGTCGCCCTTGACGCCACAACACATGCTGCTCCAGCTGTCTCCGGGGTCGGGATCGACTGGCACGGGCAAGTCGCTCCTTGGCGTCCTGCTCGATGAGTGCTGAGTGCTTTCCAGCCAGCTGTTCGAAGTTCCTCGGATCGCACGCCGCATCATTGCTATTGCTGGGGCTCAGCTCGTAGTTCTGGCCGTCATTAATCATGTCGAGTGTGGCCCGAGGCTGTTTGCCCAACACCCGTTGTGCTGGGCCGTAGCCGCTCCGATTGCACATAGTTTGCATGCAGACTCCAGGACACTTCATAGATGAGGGCCTCGACCTCGTCCATGTTCCGGGGTTTCGCCAGCTCTCTGGACCTGTAGTAGACGTCCTTGAACAAACCGCCCCGGCGCTCACAGTCACGCCATCTTCAAAAGGTGCATCCTGATCGATGAACAGTGGTTGTATGCAATGACGTTCCAGGCCGGCTTGAAAATCGGCACCGGTGAACTCCGTGCCCTCATCCAGAATCATAAACTCTGATGGTCCGAAGTCCTGAGCCACAGTCGGTCAAAGGCCTGAAAAGTGAGCTGCTGACTCGCGGGCGTGGTCAATGAGGCCAAAGGTCGAGTAGAGGGTCCCGAGGTCAGTGATGTTGAGCACGGGGTGCTCGGTGCGGTTGTCCAGGCCGTGCAGGAAGGGGACGTCCGATCGATCGCCTCCATCGCCCACCTCCACGTTCTTCCTGGGCACGTTCGATCCAGTAACTGCGCTCATGGACGGGCTGCTTTGTCAAATGTGGCCTCGGAGTTCCGATGTTCATCCTCGCAAGCCGTCATGTACTCGACGGTCCAGACTCTCCAGTAGCAGCTTCTTCGTGCCCTTCTCCATTGTCACCTCGATGGCGTCGTGAATCATGTTCCCGAGCTCCTGCACAAAGTCCTCCTCGAACTCCTGGGCCACGTAGATGGAGACCGGCTCGGAGGTCCCGAGGTCATATAGCTCCGGAAGTTCCCATAGCTGATGTCCACGACGTTGGGATGGCCCTCATCAACGTTGAAAATCACTCGCTTCTGCATTGGAGTCTTGATCATGGCATTTCGGGACCCGGGCACCTTAGTTCCATGAAACTTCCACAGGTAGCAACGGCTGGGGTCCACGATCTCGGTGATCACCTTCCAGGGTGCGGTCTCCACAGTGGTCGCACAATCAGGCTTCGCGGCCCTTCCAGTTCGCCTTCTTCACCTCGTTTTGCTGACACTCCATGCATAGCCTCACTCCCCAGGCCGGATTGACCTGCTCTCGAGGTATCTTGCCCTGCCACTTGTATTGGCAGTCTGGGTCTCCCCGGTAACACATCCAGATCAGAAGCCGTTGCTCCTGAAGACGACACAGTGTCAGTTCCCCGCCTTGGCACAATGGGCAGCTCCGGTGTTCGGCCGGCGGGTCGCAACGCATGATGTTCAGGGTGTCCTCGAGGAAGTTGTTGTCCATATTGGGGGCCGAACTCGGGGGGGTTGGAAACGCGGAGCTCGCTGGCGCGCCGATTCGAAAGTACCAACACTTCCGTCGACCATCATAGGCCCTGCAGTCATGGCTGGCACTGGTAGCGCAGGCTCCACCTCTGGAACGACAATGTAGGGTGGACGCTGCCGCGAGCTCATCGGTACAGGAGGTTCCGGATCCGACAACAAGTAGGCTGGCACCAGGCAAGGCACTGACCCTGGCACAATCTGCACACGACGTTGCCCACTATACGACGGGAACATAGGCGATTGGAGTTTTCTCCTCCACACTACAGACCCACCATCCTCCGCCGAGTATTGGACCGTAATCCCGAAGTTCTGTTGCAAGTTTTGTGGTCCATCGGCTTCAAAGTTTCCTGCCCCACCAGCCCATGTTGAGCTGCAGTGTCTATAAGTGCTCGGCCGGCGATCTCTTGTGCTGTGTGCAAAGTTGTAGCTGAGAGAGGTGTCGGTGTTGCTTTGGTCTGCTGTCGGGCAAAGGCGGAAGCGCGAAAGCATGTACATCACAACCAGTGGCTTCACTCATGTATTGCTCCACTGCAGAAGGCTCTCAGGTCTGTGCATAGTAGCCATGCTGGCCTTTCACCGGCGGATCTACAAAGAACATCCGCCGTTGGGCCGGCCGTCATGTCGCTCCGATCTCGGCGACATATAAACCCCCGTCCTGTCCTGGCATCCTGCAGTGCTTTGCGGTGGTCCAGGTAGGAGCCCAGAGCGCGACTTCCGGTCCTGCCCTTTCCTTTTCCTTTGCCCTTGCCGAAGCGGTCCTTGGCCTCGTAGTAGACCCAGGTCAGGTAGTCCCCGATGTACTCGACGGCGTCGATCTCCTCGAGCTCGGCTGGCAACGGCTCCTCGATGATCATGTAGGTCTCGCCGGTGGCCTCGTCGAAGAGTTCTTCAAAGTCACGTAGTCGCTGGCCTCCTTCCAGAAAGCCAGCTGCTCGCCGTCCTCGTCATCCCCGTAGCCATTCTCGCTTGCCAGAACGTGCGGTTCCTTTGGGAAGTCAATCGAACCATCCGTGAGCCGCTGCTTCTGGTCCTCGGTGAAGTTCCCCCTGACGGAGCAATAAATGCCCCAGTAAGTGGCTCCCTGCTGAGGTCCCGAGCAGGTCAAGCCCCTGCCTCTTCAACTCCCTTCCTGGTTCCGACCACTCCGGCGGCGGCCCTTGAAGATCACCTGGTCGAAGGCCTGCTCAAACTCGGCATCCTTGAGGTAGTCGTGCGCTTCCTCGATCGTCGCCACAATGCGCTGGTAGCCCAGAAAGTCCGTTATCTCTTCGACGGACAGCCTTCAATAAGCCAAAGTTTGAGGTTGCGGGCGTACTCTGTGTATCTCACTTCTGGCTGCTCTCCGTCCCAACCCGGTGCAGCCTCCATCCTGTAGTCCACGAACTTCTTCTCGGAAGTCCCAGCTGCGCCCTCCGCGGCTCTCGGTGAAGCCGCCCTCCGTGGCATCAAGGGAGATGCCCCACCAGGCCGAAACCCCGAAGCATCCGGTCGGTCACCTTCTCGCAACGACTCTTCGTCAGGCGACATTGGTGACGGCATTGTCAAAACTCAACTGCAGGGGTAGTCCCGGCAGCTTCCTTCCAGCAAAGGACGCTGGCACGCAAAATTCTCGCTAGACAGAACAGTTCCCAGAAACTGAGGTCACGAAGTCAAGGGTCGGGGCACAAAAGCAGCCGAGGCTCCTAGGGGTAGTCCACGATCAGGTAATCGAAGTCGCGGAGACTCGCGGGCTCGAAGGGCTCCCTGTGGTGCGTCCACCGCAGCAGCTCGCTAAGGTCGCAGCTCTAACCGTTACCAGATCTCCGCTTCCATGAACAACTGGGCGCGGCACACGGACTGGCGGCCAAACCCTCTTTTCTCGAGCTCAAGGCGCCTCGCACACAAACGTCTCCAAAGTCACAGGCTTCGCAAGAACCCCTCATGATTGAATGCGCACAATCAGCTTTCGGATGAAACACTTTGGGGTAACACCTGCACGGTTCCACACACAGAAAATCGATCGGAGCTGCAGGTCACCTGGCGCGGCAGAGGCACAGGCAGCCGTGAATGGAGAAGACCACCTCTTCTCCACTCGATTCCAATGGAGCGAGATGCTACACGGTCGACCGGACTTACACCGGCCCGATGAGACCGTAAAGCTGACAGCGGGAACGGTTGTCACGGACAGCCGTAACGTCTACGACAAGCTGGAGACCGAAGTGATGGTGATCAAGGGAGCCGAGAAGAGGACTAGCATCGAGATGCTGGCCCTGAAAGAAGCACAGGCCTGCACAAACGTGCAGATGATATGGGTGCAGAGCGAAGCACAGTTGGCCAACACGCTCACGAAGAGCGGAGGCCAACGCGAGTACGACCTGTACTACCGCATGGGTCACAAGTGGCGGCTGGTGGAGGATGAATCCATGATGTCGGCACGGCGGAGGAAGGAATTGGGGTTGCAACCGCTCGAGCAGTCTAGCAAGAGATCTAGAGTTAAGAGTGTTGATCAAGGGAGCGATCAAACAGCAGTGGAGCCTAAGTGCTCTACCAATCTTCTCCAAGAGGAGAGGGGGGCATGAAAGTTCAACGAACTCCTGGCCCTCTGTCTCCTCGCAGGAACGTCGTGCCTACAGGTGGCGATGTGGATCAAAACAGGCACCCCGGTTAGCAGAGGGTCATTGTAGCTCCGTAGATACCGAGCAATTGAGACTCTACTAAGAGCTGGCTGTTATCACATCTGACGCTCGATCCCCGAAGACTACCAGTTGTTGACACTTTCAGGGTGTACGGGCTTTCTGGAGGAAGCGGCAGCCTCGGCGCCGAGGAGCTGTAGCTCGGACTCCAAGTTCCGACGCCTCCCAAAGCGACAGCGCAGAAAAGCTAAAGAAACGTTCAGGCTTTGAGGCTCAAGGCCCAAGGCTTCTCTTCGCCAATTCTCGCGTTGAAAGGCGCGTCCTCTCTTCTTCAGACCGAGTGGCATTCCCCCAGCAGCTGCCTGTCGGACTCAGACGCGGCTCGGCCCCAAGAACGACTCGTAGCCCCCCAGACCTGATCGTGTCGAAGCTGCTCCAGGCGCTTCGAGACTTGCGCCTCGCGAAGCAAAGCAAAAGAAGCACCGCCTACCCAGCCCTGGCTCGCTGGCTCGGCTCGGCTGCGCCTGCCTCCTCTTCGTCTGCCGTGGCCTTGCTGGCTTCAGCCAGGACGTGACAGTGCCCACTGATGCACTTGGCCGGCTGCTGCTTCAGCTCGTACCCGATCTCGCTGCTGCTCGACCTGCGACATCGGACCGAGAGTGGCCGAAGCGCACGTGTTGGGGGCTGCACCTGAGCCTTTGTTTATACAGTACAGCTTCGAGTGTTTTCAACGACCTGCGAATCTATTCTCCTTACTTCCATGCAGGTGCCCGCTTGGCCATGGGGATGCAACGACTTCAGGGGGGTACACACGTATGTTCGTTTGCAAGCGCGTTGCAGGAAAGCCGTGTCTAGACAGGTCGGAAGGGTATGTACATACATGGGTCGGTAGGTAGGTAGGTATGTCGCTACGCGCCTGCACCTGAACAAAAATGCTGTGGGGGGGGGGGGCGGGGGTGTGTGCGTACGTCCGTACCTTGGGGTTCCTTGTGAGACTTTCCCGAAGCGCTCACCAGAACTGCAGAAGCGAATCGATGGATGCCGCCAAACAGAACGGGACAAGTGGAACTTCTGTAAGTTAGCTCTTTCGGGCACGAGGAAGTGAGTCCAAGAGTATGGCGACTCTGAAGCTCAGGCCGGGGGAATGTGTGTCAAGCTGTAAGCGATCCAACAGCTCTGAGCTCTGCCGCCGCTTTTCCGCCAAGCCAACCGAAATGCAGCCGATGTGCACGATTCACCGTCAAGTACATGCTTGGACGTGGGCAAACTCTCTTTATGCTGACAGGCGTCCAAGGAGGAAGCCCTAAGGGAAGGCATCATCATAGCGTGCTCCCATCCGACCTGCTGCATTCGCTCTGTCTGCTTGCTCAACTTGTCATCGGTGTCGCCAAGCTCTGCCTAGAGGTGTCTTGCGGCTACGGCGGCTACGAGTGCAGACCGAAACACTCGGGACATCTCGGGACTCGGGTCGCTGCCTTCTTCGTGGATGCCAGTGCCTCAAGATGCTTGGCCTGCTCCTCTCAGCCGCGACGCAGTGGCGACGCAGTGGCGACGCAGTGGCGACTACGGCCAGTGTGCCAGTCTTGCCTCTGCAACTCTTAGCTGCGCATGCAACTGTAGGGTCTCGGACTGCACCTTTGATCCAGCCGTAAGCCGTAAGTGCTTCCATGACATGTACCGCTCACTTGCGAAAGAGCCGCGTGTTCTGCACCCCTCTCTGTTTCCTGCAGCGTTGCGAGCTCGTCTTTGGCAGCCTCCATCCATGACCTGCGAGACACATCGCCTGTGCCTTCGACAACTCCCACTGCGTTCTCTGATTTCTGCCTTGCGTACCTTCCTTTTTCCCGAGAAGCAGTTTTGCGCGATGCAGCTACCTCTCCTCCTTCTTCCACTTGCAGCTTCGACGCCATCGCAACCCCTTGCCGTATCCCTGCGCCTGCGTCGCTCGATCTCCATCTCGACGGCCACGCAGCGTTCGGCAAACCTGCCGGAAGTGGTGGAAGCGCGCGTGCCGTGTGGATTGCTGCGCACGGCCCGTCATCCTCGCCCGCCCATGCTGCCGGGAGACGAAGGCTTCGCTGCTTTTCATGGCGGGAAAGCGATTGGGATGTGTCAGGCCCCAGCCCAGCCATGCCCAGCCTAGCTTCCTGAATTTCACCCCCCCGGGCCGACGGGCGGCCTCTGGCGCTCGGCACTGGAGCGCTGCAGCTGAGCCTCTCAGGAGCTGAAGCGAAAGGCGGAAGCGGAAGCGGAGGCGCGGAGGCGCGCCCCCCCCCCCCCGCCCCCAAGGAGACCCATCAACGGCCCGGCCCGCGGCGCCTGGCGGTCGGCCAATTGCTCCTGTAGCGTCGCCACCCGAGCATGTACCTGAAAAGGCAAACAGCTCCAAGAACTTTTCCACGATTCTGCTTGTGATTCTTTCAGCAGCGGAACTGCACAACGATGGCAGTGGCAAGCCAACAAGTTCGAATAAAAGCCTCTCTCCGATCCTTTCGCCATGCAGGGAACCTTGTTGACACTACGAGAGGGCGAGAGGGAGAGCGAGAGAGGTAGGCTAGAGCGGCAAGCGAGAGAGAGATGTGCACTTGGACAGCGTAGTAAGACGTAGTGGCGTAGCGTGTGCATATTTTGGTCTCTCTCGGTCAAGACTCTCAAAGAATGGTTCTGTGGCTCGGAATGGATGGCAAGGACGTTTCCTACTGCGAAGGGAAGCTTTCCCGACGCCTTTGAGCAAGCTCTCTCGCGGTTCTTTGTGCCTGGTCCAGGTCCTCCCGCCGATGTGCGGCCCTGGCCAGCACTGCTCCCTGTGCCTCAGATCGGAAGAGCGTCAAAAGAAGGGAAACTCTGAAGCTTTGCTCTGCTTTGCTTCGCAGCACTTTTGAATTTGGCCTCTTCCTCGGCGAGGAGCTCGGACTTCATCCTCACCTGGCTCTCCTGAACGAAAGAGGCGACTAGACGTGCATGGCTCTACGATTTTTGCGCTCTGATCTCCTCCTCCTTGAAAGTGCGTCCCTCAAGACCATCCTCGGCTGTGGGCAAAGCTCCGTGCCGCTTCGACGGGTTTACTCGGAAAGAGTCGAGCATCAGTCAAGTGTGCCGTAGTGCTTATGAATGTTGGAGAACTAAGCATGCTCGGGTTAGCTTGCGGCATGCACCCTGTGCCACCGAACACGACAAGGATCTCGCTCTTTCGCTCTTGCTCACAACGGGGCTTACAATGCTAGCACGCCACCGTGAAGACGAACCGGACACTGTAGATTACCCTTTAGTTGAAAGTCGGCTGTTTCAAGTGCGGCGATGCATGCTCGTGGTCCCCTCCTATCCGCACTCATTGTTCTTCTTACAAAACCATACGAATCAACCTTGTTGTTGTGGCGTCCAGTCTTGGAAGCTCAGTTTGACTGAATCTAACAAATCCGTCGTTCCAGGTTGGTATTTACTACTCGCTTGTTGTCCTGAAGCATCAATTTTTGGTGTTACCAAACTGTTTTCAAAATTTGCTGTTCCATGTGTCAACTTCTCTGTAATTCAGAGTTACCCCAAATAGCAAAATTTGCCTCACACGATGTTACCGACAGAAATAGATGTCAACTTATTCGTGATGGGTGTACTTAGTGTTAATACCGTTAGCGTCACTTGGTTGAAGTGCAAAGGTTGAAGTACTGCATGGGTTCAGTCGATCTGTTTGCATGCAATGGAAACTCATTTTCTTCTGTTGGTATAGCAGATAATATAGCATTTACTGACTCATGAGCATCGAGACGCCGGTATGCTCCACGGCTAGTGCTAATTAGATCATCAGCAAAAAATCACTGAGGCACCTTTAAGATGTAGAGCCAAAGCTAGCACAAACAATTACTCGCATTTAACCATATACTTCTCGTATCAGCAGCCTTATACTCATCAATAGGAAAACTGCTAAATATGAATGTCCTTCATGGTTTGCCATTGTCATTACATTACTTGCGTCCGTTGTTGCTTGTGGAAATCTTAGCCAATTGTCTTTGTTGATATTATTATGCGCCCCATCAACACTTTGACTCAATCCGCTCGCATGCCCATCTTTGTGGCCAGAGTGGATGAACCATGCTTGCTTCAAGAGTTGTTGGATGAATGAAACGGCGACCGAGCGTCTATGACGCGTGGCCGTTGAAGAAAAACTAGCTTGCCTCCCCGAGGTGGCGGAGGGGTAGGACGTGGCCAAAAGACCTGTAGCTTGAGCAGCGACGGCCACATTGTGGCAGGCGTGGCTCCTTTCTTCAACTATCTACAAGTAGAGAACATGACTCAATCCGCTCGCATGCCCATCTTGTTGGCCAGAGTGGATGAACCATGCTTGCTTCAAGAGTTGTTGGATGAATGAAACGGCGACCGAGCGTCTATGACGCGTACGGAAGATTTCGGATTTCGGTTGCACAGCGGTTTCCTTTGCAGTTCGTCCAGGCGGTTGCCGCCCTCCTTCGGCAACATCATTGAAGGCGCGCGGATAGGGGAGGCAAGCTAGTTCTTCCTTCAACGGCCACGCCATGTAATTGGAGATGCAAGCGTCCAGTGCGAGAGCATTTGCCGCCACGATCGAAGCAACAACTCCGAGAAGAGAGGTCAATCCCTCGATACATGATGCCGGTGCGCTTCCTCCAGGGATCACCGAATTGACACATGTCGAGCATGACATAAGTTGAGGAGGACAGCACACTCTTCATGTGGTCGGTGAGCCAGCACCGACTGCTGTGAGGATTTTCAAAAGCCCAAGGCACTCCGTGATGATTTCATACACGAATGAGCTCAAGCGAAAAGAGCAGCAGTCGGTTGTCGGCCATGACCTTCTTCAAGCTGTTGCCCCTGAGGGTTGAGAGCCCCAAAGGCTCGCTGTCACTACGGAGGGGGGGGCCTCCGTCACCGCTTTCTGGCCACGCTGAAGGTGACGCACGGCATCCCAATCCAGATAAAAAGCACTCTACCTTGGGCAATCAGGTTGAAGATATGATATTCTGTTTGCGGGCATGACACATCGTCTCGAGCATCATGGGCGGCGTCAATGGAGAATGCAGCGATTCCCGTCGACTGCACCGCGTGTGAGAGCTCCCACTGCCAGCAAAGATCGCAAGAACCATATTGCCAGAATGCGCCACGACTCCTCCGCTAAGGGAGGGCTGCACTGATGTGCCCGTCCAAAACTCGAGGCATCGTTTTCACTGCACGCTTGCAATACTCGAAGTGATGTGCGCTCAGCTGACTCAACATCTGCCGTATCTTTCCTATTTTGGCGTACCCGCGGACACTGCTGTCCGTCTTCCAACGCCCCCTCTCTTTCACTTCGGTGTAGCTTCGTCATTGGCTGTTCCGGTCCTCGCTTGCTCCCCCATGCCGCAGCCGATATGTGTGAAGAAGATGTGGCAGGTTGACGAAAGACTCTGCCTTCTGAAATTGCTCTCGCAACTGCTCGCCCGTGAAGCTGAAGATGCGGTTCTTCGGACCTGCCTTCTTTGCCAACGACATGAGATAGGGACCCAACCAATGCTCCGTATGAGGGTTGTTGAGGATCAAGGTGTTGTCGCAAACCCCTGTCTTGTCCGGAGCGCCGCAGTCCTGGTCTCTGATGATGATTGAATACCTCCGGTACTGCGGCCCTGCTCCAGGTATGGGACTCACCACATGCTCCCCGTGGATATCCATCCCCTCTGCCGGCCTCAAATAAAGGTCGAAATCGAGGAGCACCTTGAAGGCCATCAGACGATGACCGAATGCTACCATGATCATTGCAAAGCCATAGGCAATCTTCTTTGGCAAGGGAAGGCGGCTCTCCGGAGAGCCCGATTGGCCCTGACCAGCTTGCCCTTCAAATAGATAAAAGCAAACTCCAGCGACTGCCCCTCCAAGAACATGACGTCGAAGTAGTCCGCGATCATCCAATCCATGTCCTCGGGTGGCCACTTCAGGCCGGACGCCAGGCAGAAGTCCCTGAACAAGTTGAGGTACCTGGTGTACTGGCTTCTCTGGGCTTTCCCGATGCTGGCCATTTCGAGCCGCGTCACGACTCCCTCTGCTCCCTTGTCCTTCTCCTTGATGTCCACCGGCCCTGAGTCGAGAGGGCAGCACAAGCCCCCAACGACAAAGGTGCACACTCTTGAGCCTATCTTCTTCCCCGGGGCATGAGGGGTGTCTGAAGCCCCTCGGCCTCGTAGGCCCGCCGAGGTTCGTGGGGCTCTTGGAGGAGCGTGAAAGGCTGAATGTTTTTTTTTGGTGATCAAGTAGTGTATCTTGAGCCTATCTCTCCCTCTCTCTCTCTCTTTCTTTCGCCAGGGCTATGGGCAAGAGGTTTGACCCCCTTGCCCGCGCGCTTCTGCGCCCCCGACTGTTGCGGAGGTGAGTAAAGGCATTACGCAACCACCGGCTCACCTCTCTTTCCTTTCTTTCGCCAGGGTTATGGTATAAGGGCTTTACCCCTTATACCGCTCACCTCTCTCTCTCTCTCGCTCGACAGAATGCTGTCGAGGGCACAATCTCTGCGACAACGGCTGCGCAGCGAAGGTTCAGCGACTGCAGCTGAGCCTTCGGAAGAGAGGGGAGTCGGGCGAAGCGGGTGGCAGCAGAGGGCAGAGGGCACTTGAGGAGAAAACTCCCAGCCGCCGAGCATCTTCTGTGGCTTGGGGCCGAAGCCTCGGAGCGAAGCCGCGGCCAAGCCGGGCGAAGCGGCGCTTTTGGGGCACGGACAGCTGCTGGCGTCGCAGCCGGCCCTGAGCTTCGCAAGCCTTTGCCCGCTCCTTTCGACCTGAGCGGCCAAGCGAAGCGGCGCGAAGCGCAGCGGTGGGCGCGTCTCGCAGGCTTCGCTTCTCGGCAGGCGACAAAGCTCTTCGAGCACCTTCTTCTTCTCAGCGAGGGCCTTTCAAGGTGATATGCAGCTTATGAGGTCCCGGCAGTGACATCTTCATGTCATGCTGACGAAGAGATCTCTAGAACATGCTCGCAGGCCAGTAGCAGCACGGCAGAGTTCCGCCTCCGTCTCGCTGCGAAGCGCTGCCAACTGCTCCCGGGAGCTGCCCAGCTGCTCGTGAGACTGCGCAGGACTGTGCATGCAACGCTGAGCAGTGTGCCATGCCCCTGCAGTCTCAGGCTCGCTGCCGCTGCTGCGCCTCTGCCACCTTGGACTCCACCTTCCGAGTCTCCTCAGGAAAGCGCGTTCTCTCAGCTCTCTGGCTCTCTCTTCTACAGAGCAAAGCCCTCTCTCTGTGAAGTTTCACTCCTCCCGAGCGGAGATCGTCGCAACTTCCAGCCGCCTCCTCACGCGAAGCGCCCACGGAGAGGCCGAGAGGCCAGAGGGAGGCGCGAGCTACTAACAGCTTCCTCTCTGCATCCGAGGTCTGCTCCTCTGCTCGCAAGGTTTCCTACAAGGCGAGCGAGAGCGAGAGAGAGAGAGAGAGGAAGACTGCCGCAGCCGACCTCCAAGTCCAGGCAGTTTTGAATCTCCGACTTCTCTCCAGCCTCCAAGCTGGCAAAGCGAAGGCGGAGAGCTTTCAGCGGATGAAGCAACGCTTGCGAGCAGCAGAACTGCAACTGCAGCGACTGCACTGCTTGCACCTCGGCCCTCTTGAGTCTTTCAATCAGCTCAGAGAACCTCGGCGAGGGAGAGTCCCGGTGACCGCGACACGAAGCCGCGCAGCTGTCTCAGACTCGCTGCTTGTTGCAAAGAAAGTCCACACTGCTGTCAGCACCTCAAAAGACGCGACGGCATGTGTGAGTCGCAGCCGCGGCCCGCGGCCCGAAGCTTGCGGCCTGGCACCAAGCTCCGCTGCAGGCCGCAGAGCAGCCGGCTCACCTCCAAAGCCTCCGAGAACACGGCCGGTACAGGCAGCTCCGCAGTCAGCGCCGCTCCTGGCCTGCGGAAGCGACTGCAGCGATGGCAATTTCGCCATCGCCGGCCGGCCCGCCCTCTAGTGGATGCTTTCAGTCCAAAGCCTGCACTGCTGTTGCCTAAACATGAAAGGTATCGGCTAGAAAGCCGCTGTCACACCAGAATACTCAAACGGAGACCCCATGCTGTTGGGCAGAGTGCCAGGTTTGGGCAAAGTCATCGCTGTCTGACGGCCTAAACTCAACTCAACTCAACATTCGCGAGTCGGAAAATGGTTCCACCTCTTGCTCACTCTTCCGGGCAGCAAAGATACCAACAGCATGTCTGCCGTCGCGGCTTCTAAGACAACATCTTATTCTGTCACACATGCAATTCATTCATCATTCACCATTCACCATCTTCATGTATATGACACGACTACAAACTGGAGAAGGGGGCACGCTGACCTTTGGATTCGATGCCGGCACTTCAAGCAGGATGCAGGGCTCTTCAGCTGAGCCTTGCCAAGAGGTTCTCATGACTTCCTGCTCACAGGGACTTGGCCAATTCAGGTGACAAGTTGGAGGAGGCAGCATCACATGCTCGTACCGAAGGGAGAAAATCGGCGCTTTTTGCAAGTGCTCAGTCACCACGATCCCTGTACATCTGTACAAAGGTGAGGCTTCAGTTCAATGTCTATGTCCCGACTCACAGCCATGGTGTCCATACCCGGTAGAAGAGACGGAGTGTGACCCAGGCGTCCAGCGCCGCGTACTCAACCTTCACAGGGAGATCCCTGGAAGAGCAGAGGGCATTCGCGCGAAGACCCGCCCAGGTGCAGTGGGTGCAGTGGGCGCAGGTGCAGTGGCGGTTATAATCCAACTGGAGAATCTGAGAAGAAGTGGTGCTCTGCTCTCGGCTCTCGGCAGAGGCGCCTGCTGTGGTGAGAGCGTGCAGGGACCAGTCCGAGCAGCTGCTGATGTCCTTTCTTAGGACATAGCCTGGTGATCTCCGAAGCGTCTCGAGTGGCGAAGCAGCGCCAAGGCCGTGCGGCGCAGGCCGCAGGGCCGGTTTGGAGGGGCACCCAGCAGCTCTGCGCAGGGCGGCTGCCTCCGCTCGCCAAACAGCGGGACGGCTGAGGGGGGCGACCTTTGATTTACGCCTGGGGGCAGGGCATGTCTACCACCGAGTCTCTAGACAGGGGAATTCCGCTGGTGACGAATTTGTCCACGTCCTTGCAGTCCACACCAAAGCCAACCTCATGCTACCGGAAAGACTCATTGCAGCCTTGCTGGCACTTCTCCAATGTCTTGCGTGTGGTGCGACCGAGGGTCTTTGGTAATCCATGGATCCAAGAGCATCTGCTGCACAGGAGAAGGAGTTCGTCCAATCCGGTGCAGCTGCAGGACGTACACCTTTCCAAGCTTAGCTCAAGCTTGTTGCTAAATTTTGCAGGTAGGCCGGTTCACCCTCACTTCAAGGAAGTCTAAGCCTCTAAGTCGAAGTATCCGAATTCCTTCTAACAGGGCCAGGCTGCTCTGCAGGTCGGAAATGCCAGCTGCATCACCGAAATGGGATGATCGGAGTCACCAACGTCTGGTACCCACTCCACATCAAGCGCCACAAGGTCTGCCATTGCCAAGTCCCAACAAAGGGCGATGTAGCTCTTGCTCTCAGTGCTGTTCACGACCAGAACTTCTGAAGGCTCGTCTGGCAGGGGCTGGGGTGTCCAGAACGTGCTGGCTGGCGCCTGGGCAGCGTCCCAAACGGTATCGCAGCCGGTGCCCCAGACGGCATATGCCCAAGCGGCCGGCGGGGCGGCAAGAACGGTACCCGCATCGTCCCAGCGCAATTCGGTCACTTCAGCCGCTTCAACCTGCCTGGAGCTCCACGCGGTCCTGGCTGGAAGGTTCAGGCGGTTGAGGTTCAGGGGCCACGGTTGGTTTCCGGTGCTCGGAGTCAGGCCCGCCCTGAGTGGCGCCATGGCGTTCCTAGTACGCTCGTACGGCCCCTGCCTCTTCGCCTGCAGAACGTCGAGAAGACATGAGCAGAGCAGCGGTGGCTCCGATCCCCCCCAGCGGCGATCTTTTCCCACGGAGCGCCGGTGCTCATAATTCGAAGTCGCGGGTGTAACCTCGATAGGCGGCCACTATCATCATCGGCTCCTGGCAGAGGAGCACAGTGAGTAGCTTGAGCGAGGACTAGGGCGACTAGGGGAACAGGGGTGCGCGCGCCTTACTGGGAGCCTCCTTCCATCCGTGCCCCGAACGGCCGGCGCCGCCGCAGCGGGAGCCCGCATAGCCGCCAGAACGCCGATCACCACCTCGGCCTCTCAGAAGATCAACTCAGCTGAGTTCAATTTTGAAGCGTACGAGCAACCGGGTCCCCGGCCTCCCAGGCGAGCATCTTCTCTCGCTTCAGCTGGCCTGGGCCTCCTCCAGGCGACGTGCTGTGGCGTATTGCCCTCCTTCTCCGTCTGAGTAGCGGCCCAACCGCTCCCCTTCTGGGAGCGGCGTCCCTGCCACCACCCTTCTCGCGGCTCAGCCCGCTCGGCGGTCTCGGCCAGCTCGGCCACTCTCCGGGACCTCACGTCAGGCCTGGCCGCAGAGACTCCCCGCCGGGACCCCAAGCCCAAGCGGCCCAAGCCCAACTCCGAGGAGGCTCCGAGGCTCCGAGCGGGAGCGGCGCAGGTTTGGAGGGCTTGATCTCGGGGCCGCCCCTGAGACTTGTCAACTTCAGACATCTCCTCCCTTCCGAGCCAAGCTCCCGGCTTGGGCTTCAAGAGAGAGTTCTGCGCCTCAAGACAGGGAGAACTGAGAGAAGCTGAGCTTCTAGCGGCTGAAGCCTCTTAGCCTTAAGCTCGGTGCTAACGGTTTCGTCGTCTTCGACTTTGGGATCCTCGGGCCAAAAGCTCTGACCGGCTCGCTTTCGCACTTTCCTCCGAGCCGCTGGTCCCAGCAAGGCGCCGCGGTTGGGGGCCAGGGTGGCTCAGGCCGAGGCTGATCCTAAGGTGCGTTCTGACGCCGATCTCGCTGAGCGTCCCCCCCCTTCCCCGGACCTCGCCCTCGCCCTGTGCGGCGTGGGCGTCGCGGTGACGCTGCGCCTGCCACCACGCACCAACACACCACGCCACTGCCCGGAAAAAAGCGAGAGCTCAGTCAGAGCCAAGACACCCGAAAGGCTGCAAGTCTGCCGAGCCTCGCACGACAAGGGCAGAAGAAGAAGAGCACTCTCCAAGCACTGCGCTGCAGAACGAGCGGATGCGCAACCGTGCACCCGCGCCTGCTTTTCGGCAAGGTGGCTGGGTCGCATCGGGAAGCTTCAAGATGAGCTTCACCTCTCTCGCAGTCACTGCACTGCCAAAGTGCCTTCAAAGCTCTCTTCCCGAAGAGCTCAGAGTTGCGATACGTGCAAAGACGGACAAAAAACGCACACACCCTCGCCGCCCTTGCCCTCGCCCACTTCTCTCACTTCTCGCAGCTCACTTCGCTCTGCAAAGGGGGGGCCTGGCCTCGGGCAGCTGCGCAGATGCTAGCGATGGACATATGAGAGCAAAAAACAGAAAGGAAAGCCCCAAGCCCCCAAAAAGCTCTCAACTCTTTCCTCTCCGTCTCTCTGCGTAGAGAGGCTCTAAGCTGATCCCTCCGTGCTGTGGTTAAAGTTCCGAGGAGTGGAGCACAACATGCTAACAACATGTGAGTCGTTTTGGGAGCCCCTGGCACCGGAGCCAAAGAGGCAATCGGCAAAAAGCAGAGTTGACCCACATGCTGGAGCTGCTAGAGGAGAGACCTCGCCATACCCTCGATTCAGAAGCAGAGAACTCGTTCGCGCCCTTTTGTTTATAAGATGCAGCCGATGCCAGAGGTCCACCGTGGGCTCCACCGCAGTCACTCGAAAACTCAGCGGCCTAATGTGAGGCCTGCGACGCAGTGAAGTGGGGAGCGCCGATGTCCTGCCAGATGGGCAAGGACAGGCTGTGGCCGCTGTGGTGCTTCTTTGAGTGTAAGACGGGTAAGAGTCAGCAGCTCAGCAGCGCTGCTTCCGATTCAAGTTTCAGCTCAGAGATGCGGATGCGGCCCCCCCCAGCAGGGGAGCTTCAGCGCCCTAAACCCTCCTCAACTCCTCGCTCCATGGGGCCATGAAGGAACGCCATCAAAAGGCCGCCTTTTTGGGCACTAAGAGAGAGGTCTCAGTCGGCCTCAGGCCTCCCGCACGGCGGAGGTGGGATGGCCGAAAAACCGGACCCCGCCCTTTCCAATAGCCCAGGCCAGGAAAGCGGAGCTCAAGGGCTCCCCAAATTTTCAAGCCGGACAAGCCGACGCAACGAGCCGCTCGTTACGTGGCACCTCGGCAGCCGAGTCGTGAGGCTTTCATCACCTGTTCGAGAAAGGAAGTGCTGTTGGGCTGGGCCTCTGCAGGGGGCGATTAAACGGGGCGTGCCGCGGCCAGAGCGGTCGCGAGGCCAGCAACTCCAGTTCTCAAGGCCTCACCTTTCACAGCCATGAGCCTCACCTGAGCCTCACGAGCCTAAGGGGCCTTAGTCGCCTCAGTCTACGCTGCAGCCAGGGTGGTGTCAGTCAAGGCCTCAAGTCAGCTCCCTCAGAGATCGAAGTGGTGTCGTGACCGGAGTGCAGTTGCGGAACGGCTTTGTGGAAGACGCTCCGCCGCCGCTCAGCCGCTCTGCTCAAGGGTCCCCCCAAAGCAAAGCCTGCAAAGCTCACGCCGCGCATTCCGCTGCGCATTCCTGCGCATCGGCTCAGAAGGCGGCATCAAGGGCACAGGACGTCACACAGGTAACCGCCCCGCCGGACCGCGTTTGGTCCGGCAAAAGCGAACCTGTCGCTGAACCGAGCCGACTGAGCCGACGCTCTCGCCGCGCCTGCATTGTCTGTGTTGTCCTCGCCATGCCTCGGGCTTTAGAGAGCCGTGCCTTGCTTGGCTAAGCACCGCAGAAACACGAGGCACCACTTCAGGTCCGCTTGAGCACAGAGAAAGCCAGCGATGGGGACGACAGCGACGCTTGTGCTTTTTTCAGATGGCGCCCTTCATGCAGGGCTGCGATGCGACCCCGATGCCGAAGAGAGGGGACCGAGGTATAGGATGTCGCAGGCTGGGTCTAGGAAGGCGCCTCTGCAGCCTGCGGCTCGCACTCCGACTCTGAAGGCTCCGAAGGCTCCGCCTCTGACTGCGAAACTTTTCTGGGCCGCGGGTGCGGAGGCATCCCATGCGCAGGCACTGTCTGTGCTTGCTCTGCTGACGGCGAGCCTCTACGGGCTCATGATCCGTGCTTGAAAGCAGCCGGATCTCAGCGCCGAAAAGGCTTCGGACCCTGTCCAAGCCTCAGTGCTGCCAGACGGACAATGACTCGTGAAATGTTCTTGATTCTTCGACTGACTATCTTGGAAGGATAGAGCAGGAGGGAAGGCTGACATGCGATGTTAAAGGAAGCGTTCTGTGAGAGCTTGTAACTTGAGAGGGGATGCGCGGAATGTGGAGCAGTGCCAGCAGCGGTGCCAGTCACCTAACTCATCGAACTACGTCTTAACACTCTAGCGACCCCTTCGCAGCGGTGCATTTCTCCTGCGACCGAATCTCCGCTTTCCCCGAAACCACCATGCCATCGTCTTGGTCTTTCTCGAGAGGCAAAGCTGGGGCAAAGGGGTGCAGGGGGCCTGGGCTCGTGGGCTCTTTCCGCCTAAAAGTCCGAGAAGGAAATCTTCCCGGACTTCAGCTGCACTGCATGCACTGCTGCACATGCACTGCACATGCACTGCACATGCTGCAAGCTATCTTGCATGCTGCTGCCCCGGGCGGCGCCGGCCTTTTCCCCCTTGGCCCCGGCTGCCGCCCTTGCCTTCGCCTGGCCTTCGCTTGGCCTTCGCCTTCTGCAGCTGAAGTTGCAGCGGCAACTTCAGCGCCTCGGCGCCGATCGGCTCAGCTGCAGCCCGCAGCTCTCAGGCTCTCAGCTGCGATTTTGTCGCCCTCCACCAGTGGTCACACGACAAAAACCCACGGCTGCATGGATACTTGGCCCTTGGCACAGGTCAAAAGATCTGTGCTGGATCTCTGTCTCCGACTCCTGGCACAGCTGCCCCCTGCTTAGGATGGAGCCTCTTGAAATACCGTGCCAGGCCATCGGGTGCTTTCACGCGGTATCTGCAGAAACCTCTCTTTGGCCTGCGCTTTACCGAAGCTTTTTTGGAAAAAAGTTTGTAGGGACCTAAGCCTATCAGGGAAGAGCAGAAGGAGCAGAAGCAGCTCTTCGGGAAAGCAGTGCTATCGGGCCGCGGGCCGGTGCAACATTGCCGCTCAGGCCCACTCTCTGTGCCGAGCACTTGCCTCGCGAGCACCTCTCTGCGCCGGACTCCTAGACCTGGACCTTGAGTAAGGGTCACACTATGCTATGCCTCTCGAATACACAGGTTTGCGAAGCAACTGAGCCGAGTCAAACTCGGACACAGTGCCCCCTGGAGACTTGCAACGGTGCTCCTTTGCAGAGCTCGGTTTGCAACAAAGCTCCCAGATTCTCAGGCTCGCAGGGCTCGTCGCAGGGCTCGTCGCACTTTGGTGACTTCAGTTCAGGGCCCAAGGAGCCCCATGTCCTCAGCTACGGAATGCCACGACGCTGTGGCGAGACCTCGCTCAGGCCTAGAGGCTCCTTCGTTTTGAGCGAAAACCACGTGGGGCCCCGCCTTCCGCTGCACAGCTACTGTTACTAAAGCTGCTGCTCCTCGAACTCGGCAACCGAAGAGCAAGAGCAAGCATGTAGAATGCAAGCTTGTGTAACTGCCTAGGCCTCAGCCGAAAAACTGCTTAATGCTCGAGGTTAGATGTGAAGCGCCGCTCTGCTGCGGCCGGCGGTTCCTGCTTTCAACTCACGGCGCCCTTAGAGCCAAGAGAATCGAAGACTCGAAGAGTCGAAGGGAAGGGGGGGCCTGGGGGGGGGCCGCCGCGGCCCGGGAGCGAGAGAGAGCGAGACTCAGACCTCGGCGCGAAGCACAGAGCACGACGAGCACGAGCACCTGGCTTTCGGGAGACCCTAGCCGAGCGAGGCGAGCGGTCTTTCTGGGCTCTGAGGGGAAGCGGCTGAAAAGCTCAGGCCAGGATGGGCGCGAGGCGATCAAGCAGCACGAAGCCGCAGTTCGAGTGCGGTGAGGCATAGGCCCATGCTATCCGGGCAGACCAGCGGCCCTCAAACCATCTGAACAGCACAGACTTGAACCGCTGCACCCGGCAGGATGAACGGATCCCCTGAGACGACTTTGCAGAAAGTCGAGAGCCAAAGTTGGGGCGTCCTAGTGGCGGCTCAGAGAACTGCTGCCAGGCCTCGCTTGCCTTCTGAGACGACTTTAGTTTGCAGAAAGTCGAGAGCCAAAGGCCCTGGCGCCCTAGTGGCGACTCAGAGATGCTGGCTGCCAGACGTCGGCTTGCGAAGAGAGCCTCCATGGCTCTCGGAAAGAGACCCGCCGCCACATGGCCTCGCCCGAGACCGTCTTCAGGCGACACACGGACACAGATCCCTGCTCTTGGTGAACTCCTCATCGGATGACCTTGGCCACAACACGCTTCAGTCGCGAATTGGAATTTCTTTCGACCTGAGCCTGAAAGCCCGGCGGCATGTCCATCGACTGTGCCTCAAAGGCTCAAAGCTGCCATCCGTTCCTTCCGCTTTAGGCTGAGGGTTCCAGGGGACCAGGGTTTGGGACAACTCTGCAGCGTTACACCGCCGAGCCAGCGGCAACA